CGCCATTCCAACAGCTTTGAATATTAAGTCAAGATGTTTTGAGTGGGCCTCACTGGACAAGTTGTGTCCTCGCAGTGAAAGTTGCAGGGAAGGATGGCGCTCATTGAGCCTATTGTATGAGGTCTTTAGTCTTTGAATAAGATCCTCAAAAAAGCCATGTAACTCTTCACACATATTTCTACCAAGAGGTGTATGAAACTGTGCAGCATTTGAAGCCAAGTGCCATATTCTTTCTGTCTCCATGCTTGTTCCTCCATATGAGTACCATTGTTTCCTTTGGAATTGCTCTGGACCCCAGAATGCATAGTTCTTGATTCCCATCCTCTCATAAAGTCCACCTTGAATTGACTTAGAATCATTTTCAAATATACCAATTGATTCCTGCCAATAATCAGATAAATCCTGGGGTACTTTTGATTGTCCTTTGTTTTCAGACCAGAATAGTGAGATTGAATGGACCAATGATAATGGTACATGGCTGCTGTCATAAATTTGCTTCAAGTATCTTAAGTGAAATTTGATATCCAAGGCACCCTCTGAGCAGTAACTTTGAACATTTCCAAAACCAAATTCCTCAAACTCTGCCTCCTGCCAGCTGCTATAGAAATCTTTCATGAAGCTCCATCCGTCATGTAGTAGGACTTCCATATCATCTTTCCCATATTGATTACCCTCAAAAACTCTCAAGATACCAAGAAATGTCATAACAATTGTGAACCCTGCATGTTTTGCAGCTCGCCTTATAGCATCAATTTCTTGCTCACTAAATTTGTTTTTGCCTTTGATATTCTTGTATATTTCACAAAAGAAATCATATATCTCATAACAAAGTGTTGGTGACCTATTTGCATTGAGAATTCCAATTTTCTGCAGAAGAACAAGATAATGACCTGACTTGCGAGCATTTCTGCTTTTTGACACAAAGCTTTCAGATAATCTGTTTGGTATTTCCGTAAGACTTTTGCTGAATGAAGTGTGTGGTGAATTGTCAATGAGATTGATTCTACTTTCTCCGTTGTCTCCAGCTAAACCAACGCCCAATTTCAACAGGTCCATTTTACTATCAGGGTGGGACATTGAGGCTCTACCCTGTGTACCAAAAGTCTTCACCACTTCTTTCTTCCTTCTCTTTGAATTACAATTCTGGGTAGAGTACACATTGGGATGTGCAGCAATATTATGCTTAGGTAGAGGAGCTCCTTTTCTTTTGTCTTGTGGGTGATTCAATATTTGGTTATCTTGACTAAGCATGAGGTTCAGCTGGGTTCTTCTCATTTCATCTGTACTATGATTATCCTCAATAGGAAGGTGTTCAAGAGGGCTTATGCCTTGCCTGTGCTCTGGGCCATTTTCATTCTCCATTCCAAGGGATGCCTGATATATCATAGAGGGTGGTGTGGGGTGCTGTTCCCTACTGGTTGGACATTGATTGTTGCCTTTCAGTGTCATGGGTCTTCCTAGATTTTAGTTTGGGTTTTGATGTAGGCCATAATTATTTGCTCCTGATAACCCAGTACCTTGTGTGAAGTGTTCACATTTCAAAGAATCCTTAGAATAATCAACCTCCATGAAATTGTGATACTCTGACATATGTGGTCTCCTGCTTGAACCTGAAGTTCTAAATCTTAGCCCTGAGCATGATTGGTAACACAGACTTCCCAGTGCTATGCTCAAATATAATCTTGATAGTAACAAGTGCCCCATCATATCTGGGTAGTTTAAGAAGATGGAAGATGCTTTGAGGTTTTGAAAGTTTATAGACTGCTTATTGCAGGGAGAAAAGTGATTCTTAAGTAAGTAGTGGCAATTAAATCATTTCTTGAAGCCAATGATTTTTGGTAACTATTTCAA